CACATCGCGTCGCGCCGCTGCACATCGCGTCGCGCCGCTACACATCGCGTCGCGCCGCTACACATCGCGTCGCGCCGCTACACATCACGTGGCACCGCTACACATCGCGTCGCACCGCTACACATCACGTCGCACTGCTACACATTGCGTCACACCGCTACACATCGCGTCGCGCCGCTACACATCGCGTCGCACCGCTACACATTGCGTCGCGCCGCTACACATCGCGTCACACCGCTACACATCGCGTCGCGCACATGCGGGTGTACGTGTATGTACGTGCGCGTCCATGCACGCGCAGGCGCTCACGCACTCATGTAGGCATGTTTGTGTATACATATACGGACATGCACATTCATGCAGGCACGTGTGACGGCAACACAAACACAACCAAATAATAATAATAATAATAATTGCGCGCGAGCTGAAACAGTAGGAAAACGCCACGCAGCGCTCATGCTAATGCTGCCACGACGAGGCGCACGCTAACGCTGCCACGACTCGGTGTGTAGCTGCGTCATCTCTCACGCAGGTGGCTGCGGCAGCATGCGAGCGTGCTGGGCATGGTGTTCAAGCACGGAGTCAAGCGCGCCGAGATGTCCAACGCCATCGACGTCTACGTGAACTGCACCGTCGGACAGGTACGCACGACGAACGCGCGCTTGTTTGTCACTCCTGGCGCGACCCTGTGTGACCTTGCGTGACCCTACGCGATCTCGCGTGACCCTGCACGACCCTACGTGACCCTCGAATTACCCCGCATGACCTCACGCGTACACGACATAACTATGTAGCTAGGTCAGTAATATACTATAGTTCAATAGGCTATTGTACTATACTAACCTAGTAGGCCCATTAGCCCTTACTAGGTTAGTATAGTACAGGCTATTGCTAAGATAAGCCAGCATAGGTCATAGCTGTAGGATAAAATGAGCAAAGGTCATCAATAGATTAGTCTAGCATGGGCAATTCATAACATCTGTTTAGTTTGCCAGGATCACGTAAGTATAGCTTATTTCGTTATTTTGGCGCGTATCTGCACTGGCTATTTGTCGAGTTAGGGTGCGAGAGATAGCGGCAAGGAGGCTAATATGTGTACGTAATCAGCCCTAGCCAGCTTCTATTGGTGGGTGGTTCGTTTTTCATTTGTTGCATATCTTGGCTTCGTCTAGGTGGCTGTACAGGTATCTGTAAATCAGGGGTTCTAACTGTACCTGCATATTGCGCGCACTTCCAGCGCAGCGGGAGTTGCCTCCCCAAATTTTTTTTAAATTACACCCCGATCAATGGCGTTTCTGCGGCGTATGCAAGGGGTCAGAACTCCCTGACCCCCCTGTACACGTCACCCTGCCGGGCGGCTGGAAATTCTTGTGAGCCGAGGCCAGGATGCCCAAGCGACCTTAGAGCGGGGAGGTTGTTTGGGAGGGGTGCACTGTCACCCTCCTCGCATTACTCGATGGAGATTTTGCATATTACACTAAAATGGACGCGACCTAAGGTGAAATTTTCTTTGCAATAAAAACAAAAATTTTTTTGGCTTGGGGGAAAAACGGCTCGGGGGGGGGGTTCGTCGAACCTCCCCCGAACCGCCCTGCTATCGGCCTGCGTATACATGCCACCATAAATGCACTAGGTTATTCTTGCATCCACGACAACGGCCTCGCGTCAGTCACGGCGCACACGAACATTAATCTTCTACACTCATAGAGAGTACAATTTGTTTTCCCCTGTATTGCAGGACATGGACAGGAAGGTGTGGGAGGCACAGTTTGAGAATCCGCCACAGCTGCTGTCGAAGGTGAGTGAGCGGGGACACTCGTAGGTGCCGGTGTCCTGTAAGTGTTTCACCCCTCTCCCTGTTCCCATCCTCCATCCCCACAATCCCGCTCCTTCCTCACTCCTAGCATCCCCTCTTCCCTCCTCACCCGCCCAGCAGTCCCCTCTTCCCCTCCCCACCGGCCCAGCCATCCCCTCCTCTACCGCCAGCATCCCTCTCCTTCCCTCCCCCACTCCAGTCATCCCCTTCCTTCCCCTCCCACCTCCGAACGCATCCCCTTCTTTCGCTCCCACCGCTCCAGTCATCCCCCTCCCTACCGGCCAGCATTGTCCCCTCCTTTCCTTCCCCACCCAGCGATTCGCCCTTCCTTCCTCCTCCTACCGCCAGCATCCCCGTCCTTCCCTGCTCCCTACCGCCTCCCAGCACCCGCCTCCTTCCCCTCCCTCACCCCAGCTAATCTCCTGCTCCTGCCCCTCCCACCCGTCCCAATTTGCCTCCCCTCTTTCCCTCCCCAGCCTCCCTCAGCATCCCCCTCTCCCGCCACATTCCCCTTCCTTCCCCTTCCCCACCTCCAGCATCCCTTCCTTCCCTCCTCACCGCCCAGTCATCTCCTATCCTTCCCCTCCTCACTTCTCAGGGCAATTCCCTTCTTCCCCACCGTCACCGCAGCTCCCCGTTCCTTCCGTACCCTCTTCCCCAGCCCATGCCTCTCCCTCCTTCCCTCTCCTCTACTTCCAGCATCCCCTCTCTTTCCCTCCTCCTCACTCTCAGCATCCCTTTCTTCCCTCACTCATCACCCATGCATCCCCATCCTTCCCCTCCTCACCCCAGCATCCCCTCCTTCCCCTCCTCACCCCAGCATCCCCTCCTCACCCCAGCAATCCCCTCCTTATCAGTAGTTTATATATTAATATCAGTAGCTACTGTTGTTTATATCATTAGTTTATATATTAATATCAGTAGCTACTGTTGTTTATGTCAGTATAGTTTATATATTAATATCAGTAGCTACTGGGAGACTACTGGCATTGTTGCTGTGTGTTTGCAGGATGAGAGAGAAGAGTGGCTTGCCACATTAAGCAGTGTCTGTCTCAGCTCTGATGCCTTTTTCCCCTTCAGAGATAGCATTGACCGGGCCCGCCAGGTGTGTACCCGTCCCTGCTGCCGCGTGTGTGTTACAACAAACCATGAATACGTATATACTCATTATGTATGCCTACGTCTGTGTGTGTGTGTGTGTGCGTGCGTGCGTGCGTGCGTGCGTGCGTGCGTGCGTGTGTGTGCGTGTGTGTATGATAATGTGTGTGGTGTATGTGCATGCGTGAGTGAGTGAGTGCGTGTGTGTGCGTGCATGCGTGCGTGCGTGTGTGTCTGTGCGGGCGTGAGTGCGTGCGTATCAGAACTAAAAAAAAAACGAATACATATGTCTGTTTGCTGACGTTACAGAGTGGAGTGGAGTATGTGGCAAGCCCGCGCGGCTCCGCACAGGACCAGGTAGTTATTGATGCTTGTAACGACCACAAGATGGCGCTAGCGCACCACAGTCTCAGGCTGTTCCACCACTAAGCCGGAGCGATGCTGGAGTGCTGATCAGAATCCGTTTCCAAATCCGATTTTCGACGACGTTTCTCCTTGTACGCCGCGGCCGCGAACTGTTGGCTGAGTGTGCTGTGACGTGATTCGATAAGGGAGTTGTGAGCGTTATAATTTTGTGATTGAATGTTAGTTTTGTTATCGGTTAATCATTGCTATTAGTGACGTCTATGTTAATATGAATTGTTTCAATGTGATACCATTAGTTGCTGTGTTGATATTAGTAGCTACTATATTTATACCAGTAGTTCTTGTGTTGATATCAGTAGCTACTATGAGATATCGGTACAATCTTTTTTGATGTGATTTGCATGATGTATGTATAGGCGTCACACCGGCGCATTCGTGTTGGATGCTCATCTCCTGATGCTCATACATCATCACACGTTCTCGTGTTTTGCTGCGACCCTGTTTTTCTCGTTTCGGCGCGAATTTCTTTTGTTGGCCTGGCCGCGGCAGGCTGTTGTGAGAGAGAGAGGGCTAGAGCTTCGTTCATATCTCACTGCTGTGGGGGTGGGGGGGGCTGGTGTCTGTGCCGCCGTGTGGGGCGGCTGAGGTCCCGGTAACGTTCGTAGCGGGGCCCTGGATTCTCCACCGCGTCGTATCGTTTCGGCAAAAATTCGGGCTCGGATCGCTGTGGCGTCCGCTTCCCACCCGGGCTCCTGGTGTCGGGTTGAGATCGCATCCCGCCTGGTCCCCGGGTGTCGCGTAAAAACCGGACCGAATCGTCGAGGGGCCCGCCGCGCCATTAAAAACGCGCCCGGGAATTTTTCGGATCGCGAGAGCGCGTTCGGTGAGTGGGCCAGGTTTTTGATAAGATAGTGCTGCTTAGAGGTTACTAGAGGCAGGTTGAGTGCGTGTTTTCACCTGTGATAATTCAGGATCGTGAAAGGCAGGTTTACTTAATTTACGTTTTGCCGGTGATAGTGCGATAGTCATTATGAAACGCGCGTTAAATATACGTTGGTTTCGGTGTTATTTTGATGTCGGTAATGGCGGGTCACTTTGTTTTGCCGGTGCTATTTTGACATGAGAAAAGGCGGGTCAGTGTGTTTTTGCTAGTGCTACGTTGAGATCTCGAATGACGTATTTTTGTACGCATGAGGTTGTAAGACTCTGAGGAGTGATTGTGTTTAACACGTGCTAGACAACGCTCAGAGCTGCTGCAGCAGCTGGGCGCAGTAGCTTTTTTGTTGTTATTTAACACGTTTATTTATTATTTTTGACCGTTCTAGTCCCCGAAAGGACTACGCATATTATCGTAGCGGATTATGAAAGCGTGAACGGGCAAACAACAGTGATGTGAGGTTGAATTGTGAATTGTTGAATTGTTGAATTGTTGAATTGAATTGTTGAATTGATATTGTGTGAATTGAAAAATAATTAAAATAAAAGTTTTTCCCGAACGCATTTTCTTGTCTGTATCTTTTACCACGCACCGCTGTAGCTGGGCCTGGTATTCTATACTCCATATAGATGTATAATGCGTGATAATAAGTGAAGGGTATACGCCATATTCCTTAGATATCTGTCTTTGCGTTGTAGTTTCTTTCTTGATTGTAGATTCAATAGTACTTCTCTGATTCTCTCTTCCCGCTCTACTCTCCCTCTCTCTCGCGCGCGCTCTATCTCTCTCTCTCTCTCTCTCCTTCTCTCTCTCCTTCTCTCTCTGTCTCTCTTTCTTACCCCTCTCT